AAGTGTTTTTTGGGCATATTATATATTTATATTAAAAATTAATGGTAAAGTAATGATACCCAAGCATTTTTAGAAAAAAATAATAATAGTTATTTGTCAATATCTTTTAATTTATTGCGATGAATAGCCTCAAATTTTATGGGGAGGCTAAGCCTCCCTTGTCGGCACAATCATGTCGCTGGAATTGCAAAGGCTGCTTCTCAAAAGCTTGGAACAATGTTTCGAACCAGAAAACTGTACATACCTCAGTAAAGCTCAGATCAGATCTTGTTTGTAGTATTCTTCTCATGTATGAAGTTCCGCCCCTGAGCATATTGGAGACGCAAATTTCACTTGCAACCTTGATAGTCTGGAACATCGAAGAAAGGTTGCGAATTTGTCTCTCTTGTATAGATACTTTCACATATACGTGCATTCATATACGTGCGGAGAACAGAACAAGAACTCGTATGTAGCGGAGATGCTAACGTTAGTTTTGCAAAAGTGTCCAAGAATTTGCCCGAATGAACATAAATTCATGTTGTCTGGAGACTCATACACGAAAGTCGATTTTGATCATACTGTATTTGAAAGAAAACACATAAAAGCAGTACTTTCAGAGGCCATCCCCATGATTGGTATCAGTTGGTCCGATCGTGCGGTCCTAGATTTTTGGTTATTGAGATGATCCAAGACGACTTTTCAGAATTCTCAAATTTGTTGGAAGGTATATTCGTGAAAAGAAAAAAACGTTGCACACAACGATTTTAAGTGGCAACCTGTGCGTACCTTAAAGTACAGCGAACGGTTTGATATCATCCAATTCAAAACCAGCTTAGATGATTATGAACCATACCAGAAGGTGTCGTTTTTGCGATAGAAAATATCCGCGAAATGGTTAGCTGATGATGGCAACGTCCCAAAAATTTAAAGTACGTTATAACCAATATCTAAAGGCCGCCATACACTGCAATGTTGCCCGACAATTTTAACCGTGGCGAGTAAAATCGTGCGTGCAAAATTGTAGGGACGAAGCGTTCATACATTGTCAGGTCACAAAGCCAGTTCGCAGGTAGTTTGGACAGCGACACGATGAAACGAGCACATAAACTGGCAGTGGCAGCGGCATTAATGATAAAAAGGCAACATAGAAAAAAACGTCTCATGTGGTCTAAAGATTGGCTGCTAAAAAGACAGCAATTTTCACATATTAATTTGTTAACTGAATTGAAGTTACAAAAAGACGTACTTTAGTTATTTTATTATCAACATATCGTTTAATTATTTCAGCAGTTTTCATTTTCAGCACTTCATAATTTCACAGTAATTTAATTTTATCTGTTCTAGCATAGAATTATGCCTTTCCGTTTTAGACAATGGAAGTCCTGAATATTTCTTCTTATACAGAAACATTGTCAAGCACCTTCAAACAATCTTAGTTTCACCGTTACCACATTGTTTAGCTTCGCTCTTTGTCTATAAAAACAATTTTGTTATTATACTTCTTTGTGAAATCACCTTATTTTCAGTTTAACCATTTCAAATGTGCAACAATTTCACCGAGTTCCGGTTGAAAATCAGGAGAAGTTAACACTTAACACAGTTAACTTCTCCTGAGTGTATTTTTATAACATAAATATTAACATATTTCCTTTTCATCTCCAACATGTCCAAACTGTGAAAATTCAAATAACTGTTCAATTTGTTGGTATTACAATTAACAAATAAATACTTGGTTTCTTTACAAAAAAATTTACAATTCCTTACATAAACATAGAAAATATCTCATATATTTTTATTATCACCTGTTGTAAATGTTCCTGTTCTGCTAGTTCCTGATCACTTTCAATATTGGATTGGCTCTGACGCGGAACTTCTTGATCCTCTAAAAACTGAAAATATGTAAAATACCACAAATGTGGCTCATATACTGCGTCACTTTCTACGCCGGATTTTTTGATATCTATTACTTTCTTCCTTTCTTTTCTTACTGATCCTCTCATGGAATCTATTTTCTTTTCGACAGTCTCCTTCGTCGCATCAGGGTCTACCTGCTGTACTTTCGTTACTAATTCCTGGTACGCTTTGTTTTTCATTATTTTGTTTGCAGTTTACATTCCACAAACAAGGGTGACTTCTATATAACTCAATAAACTCTATTACTAAATCTTTGCTCCAAGTTCTTGTATCCATGAGCGAAAACTCGTTTTTTAACGAGTTTTCGCTGTCGATGAATGACGGTTTGTCGGGCAACATTGCAGTGTATGGCGGCCTTAAAGAAAAGAAGGCTGATCTGTTGTCCCTACTAGAGTTTATTCCACGTGTGTTTCATCCGACTCAACTCTATCGACAGATCCAGATTTAATGCTGACAATCATAATGAAAGTTCCGAAAAACTGCGATTTTTATTTCAGTCTGAGAATTTGATAATTTTAGTTCTTATCACTTAACTCACTTACTTTTCACTTATTCTTTTTTGGTTGATTCAATCTAAGTAGAAGGCGTTTTTGTTTTGTACTGTGAAATAAAAGTAGAAATTCTGCTAGCCTTTATTGATTTATGACACTTTTATTTTAAATAACAGCTATTATGATTACATAACTACATTTCAACCTGCCTAATTTGAAATTGATTGAGAAACGATTTTCTCAACTTTCTAAACCTCGGTCCATTCTTTTGTGAAGAGATTCAAATCGACGACTGCATATAAGAGAAATGCTTATAACATTACATGATTTCTATAGTTGACATGTGTGACAGTTGATGGAGATAATTTCTTTAAAATTTATTATCTAGGTAATTTCTAATTGCAAGAAACTTAAACTGTAACTTTTATTTAGAGATCAATTATTTTATTATCAGTACGATCCCTTGCTTTTGAACCTTTCAGTTATACTCCTATAACTAGTGTTGTTATGATAATATTAATGCAGTGTTGTACGAGTACAATTTTTCTTTGCTTTTCATCACAACCCTAAAATATAATGTCAATATCTTCAACTACTACAAAATGGCGGAAGTTTTAATAATTGCCTGAATANGTTGCCTTGAACTTCTT